GGGGGTGGTGGCGGCGGGGGCTCCGGCGTCTGGGGCCGCAGAGGATACAGCTTATCGTAATGCTCTCTGTACTGCTTGGCAAATCTCTCCAGCTGCTTGAAGGGGAAGTAGTGTTGGTGCACGTGCTCTTGGTGGCTCTTCAGAATGAGGATGTTTGAGAAGAACTTGCCGCATGTGTCGCACTCCAGCTTCTCCAAGTTCTCGCCCTGCTCCGTCTTCCCGTTCTTCTTCTGCACCTTCTGCTTGTTCTCGTTGTACTGAATGACCAGCTCGAAGCCGAAGTTCTCCAGCAAGGCTTTGGTAGCGTTCCCTCTTGCATCAGAGGCGATGCGTGGGGGCAGCAAGGAGGGCTCTGCGCTGGTGCCCGGCGCAAAGTCCTTCTTGTCTTTGGGCTTGAGGCTGTCAGGCAGAGGCTCCTTGGACCCTGAGCTGCTGTCCACCCTCTCTGTGCTGTCCCTCTCCCTCTGGCTTTCTTTCTCCTTCTCCTTCACGATGGATTTGTTCTTCTTCTCCGAGTGCTGGCTCTGCTGGACAAGGACCGAGTGAGACTGCGAGAGGGAAAGCTGCCCTTGCTGCTGCTGCAGTATCTGGGGGTGGCTCTGCTGGGGGAGCTGGACCTGAGCCTTCAAATCCTCCAGCAGACTCGGCCCACTACCCGTCAGCGTCAGCGCCCCGCTGGTCACGGGCAGACTGACTTCAGGGTTGAGCTGGAAGTCGGCGCTCGGGATGTAAAACGGGAAGAGAAGATGCTGCTGCTGCTGCAGCTGGAGCAGGGTCTCCGTGGTCATTGGGAAGTGTGGCAGGAGAGTGGGGTTGAACAGCTGGGACTGCAGGAGGGCAGCCTGCTGCTGGAGCTCTTGTTGCAGGTGGGCCTGGACTTGGGCTTGAGCCTGTGCCAACGTCTGAGCTTGCTGCTGCTGCTGCTGCTGCTGCTGTTGCTGCTGCTGCTGCTGCCTGGATGCAATCATATCCGCCAGCTTCTTCCGGTTTACCTCCTTGGGCTCAGAAGGGGAGATGTTGGCGCTAATGGGGTTGCTTAAAGGTGGGATTCCCACGTTGTCACTGGATACCTGGTTGAGCAAGCTGGGGATCGGTGCTGTGGCAGTGTTACTGGTGTTGGTGGTTGTGAAGGCATTGGAGCTACTAGTGTTCACTGGGCTCGGTGTGGATGAGCCCAGAGAGAGACTACTGCTGCTGCTGCTCCCAGTGTTACCAGCTCCGTTACTATTGCCGCTGCCACTGGCTGCCTCCAGTTTGGCAGCCCGGGCCTTGGTCTGGTGCAGGACAGACCTCATGTGGATCTCCAGGGTGGAGCTCTGGCTGTAGGCCACATTGCAGGTGTTACACTTAAAAGGTTTGTTGTCTGGGCTGCTGGTAGGTTCAGGCTGCCCAGTAGCAGACTCCTGGAGGGCTCGTTTCAGTTTATGCAAGTGAGAAACTGAATTGTAATGGACCAAAAGAATGTTCTTTTGTGTGAAAGACTCCTTGCAAACTGTGCACTTGTAAGGGCGAGATGGGTCCAGAAACTTCTCCATGGTGAAGTTAGGACCTTTCCTGAAGGGCAAGGCCCTCTTCGGCTCCGAGCCAGAGTCTTCTTGCACTGATCCAGAATCGCTGCCAGTAGGACTTTGTTTATCTTCCAGGTCGCTCTCCTCCTCCTTATCCTCCTCCACAATTATAGTGTGGTCTTCTGCCAGCGAGGGATCACCCATCGCCAAGAGGTCTCCATTCACCAGAAGCCCTCCGTAAAGCTGCTGAATATCTGCTTCGCTCAGCTCCAGGTGACTGGTCTCCAGGTGCTTCTTCAGAGCTTGGAAAGTTCGGAAACTGCGCTGGCAAAGACAACACATTGTGGCTGCTCTGATGACATGGTATTGGGAATGGAGCTGCAGCTTCTCGATGGTTTTGAAGGCCAGGCTGCACTGGTTGCAACGGTATTTGTAGACGTGCCGGTCGGACACTGGCAGTTGTGGCCGTTTGGCGTGAACCTCATTGAAATGTGTCTGGAGGGCTGCTGAACTTTTGAACACCTGGTTACAGCCCTTCTTCCAGCACAGGAAGCCAGAGTCCTCTCTGGTGGAGCTCTGATCGGCAGAGGCCGACTTGGGGTCCCCGCCGTGCTCTGTGTTCTCAGCCGACAAGAGGCTCTTTCCCGACTCCTCGCAGGGCTCTGAAACAGAACAAAAGAGGAAAAGGTTGAAGAGGTAGCAGGAGAATATCTGGCTCGTCTCAGCCAGTCGTCTATGATCTCCATAACGATCGCACGCCTATTTCTTGCTTTGGATTCCGATCCGCTCCTTCCTCTGCCCTGACCATGAATATAGGCTTTTCCTATTGCCACAAGGACTTTTAGGTGGGGGTCACAGACTGCTCATTTGCTCTTTGGCAAACTGGCTGGCACCAAAACATTATCCCCAAGCAGGACAGAAGTTATCCCTAATATTTTTCCTGTATTTCCATTTTTGAACTTCATCCCCTTGATGCTATTCCCCCCGCTGCCAATTCCATGCAATTTCTCCTCCTGGTTATTCTTCCTTTGAATATCTAATTCTCCCTCACAAATTAAGCTGTCCAGAGACCTAATGATCTCCATCACTTTTCTCTGATGCCCTTGCTGTTGGCCACAATCTTTGCAATGAGAAAGTGCCCAGTCCTAACACAATAACCAGGGCACGGCTCTGCCAACGTTGCAAAGAAAGGGAATTCCTCAGACCTGCAGAAGAATGCGCTGCACTCAAAAGCTTGTCCAAGTCTATCCTAACCATGCAGCCGGTCTGATAGAAGGTAGCACTCACAAATATTCTTGCCTCAAAGAGAGGGAATGAAAGCCAGTGGCTGCCGGCCAGACTTCACTGAAGGCCACTAAGGCCGGGGGGGGAGTCAGGTCCGTGGGAAGAGAATACCGTACCACCTTTCTGCTGGGCTCTAGGCAGAGCGGTCTTGCCAGGACAGGCAGGGCTGCTGCACTGGCACGTGTTGAAAACAGCACCTGATGAACCAGCGCGTTTCTAGCTGCTCCAGCTAAGACAATACTGTCCACGCAGAACTGAGCTGGCTACCTGCAAACCCTGTCTCACGAAGGAAGGGACAGTTGTCTAAATCTCAAATTTCCTTCTAGACTTCTCTCTGGGAACCCTTCATCAGTGTCTTCTACCCTGTTGGGACTCTGGCCAGAGACTATTATCACCTCCCTCCTGGAGCTTAGAAGTTTCTGCACAGGCAGCTCAGGACATCACTATCCTTTTCTTGGAGCCATATAACGCTAAACGCTCCGGTCTAATTAGGTGGCTGCTATCACAATCACAAGTAGGGCAACACAGTGCCAGGGTAAAAACCGCCAAGGTAGTTCTGGGCTGGATATGCAGCTGCAACTTGAGAGCAGCAGTGAAAACTTCCCTGAATTGCCTTGCTTATGAATCTCAGCCACGATTGGGAGAGACCACGCCTCAGTGACAAGGTCTGCAGTTCATTCCCCGTGGCCCAATTAGCCTTTGGCCTTTTCACCGACTTGTCCTAAGAGGTGCTGAGTGGCTGCTGTGGCGATGTGAACACCTGGACTCTATTCAGATCGCATATGCCTAGAAGAGGAGGCAGATGGCTAAAAGCCCTGGTGCTGCTGAGCCATCACCAAGCAGAAATGCTAAGCAGCTTCCGTGAGGTCAACGGACCGACTTCAGATCCGCACCAGACACGGCAGAAAGCACCCGGCCCAGGACGGGGTGAGGTGACCGGTGTAGCAGGTCAACAGCTGCTGATCTCACTACCAGCCCTCAGAGCTCTCCAGTCCCTCCACTTTAATATGTTTTAGCTCCTGTTTTTAAGGAAGCTGGACCCTCTTTCTCCAGAGCTACTGGCTCTGCATCTGTGCTCCGGACGAGCAGGGCTCGACAAAAAGCTTAAGGCGTGACTTTAAGCTACTTCTCCACTATCCCGATTTGGAGCCTTCTGAGCCAGGATGTGGCACCAAGCCGAGCAGCCTGAAGATGGCTCTCCTGCGTGCGGGCTGCCCGTGGGTGCTCGGGGCTGTCTGGCAGCTGGGGACCAGCCGGGTGCAGCAGCGCCCCGGTCCACACCTTGGTCACATAACAACCCAGCCCAGGCAGAGCAAGCAGCGCTAGGCGGAGCCATGAATCAGGCCCTCAGACACGGGGCTCGTGAACCGAGTCCCCTTCGGACCCAAACATGTGCTGTCCATCTCTCAGACGTCCTGCCCTCGGCACTAGCTTCCTTCAGTACGAGTGAGCCACAGGCGAGTGAACTGCTTGGGCGAGCAACACCACCAAGGACTTTGCCTCCCCGTGCACGTGCCAGCCAGAAGAACATGATTCATCTAACACCGGCTTTATACAGACACTAACCAGGCTGCTTCCCCGTCTCTTCGGCATTGGGGTTCCCATCTCTTTCTGGAGTGGATGCTGGAAGAAACATACTGCTGGGCATCATCACCTCAGGTGTCGTCACCTGAGGATGGGGGTAGAGAGAAGAAAACACAAAAATAGGAACATATTTAAAAATCTTTAAGCAGCAAAATTAGGCTCCAGCACTGTAAAGCCAGAGGTGTCACTTTTCGTAGCTCGCCAAAGACTTGTGTTTATTAGACAAAGCTTGCATCAGTCAAAAGTGTTTCGACAGTTGCATTCTGGACATAATTAGCACTGCACACTTGAAGAATAATTTTATTATTAATATTTTTCTTTATGCAGAATTCAGACTTTGATCACTGACAATGTTTTGTCATGGGCTGTGAAACTTCTTGTGCAGCCAATTAGGTAGATAAGTTGAAAGGCCCACCTTAAGCTGCTGAAAACATAATAAGGCCCCTAATTAAATCATACCTCGTAAAGTACACTGTAATCTTGAACTAGGGAGCATTGCAGCACTGTTTTCAAAGTGTAGTGATGCAGGAAAAGGAGGGGCATGAGAAAGGAAAAGTACAAATAAGGAGAAAGATGACAAGAGAAAGGATGAATAAGGAAGACTCAAAGGAGACAGCAAACTGTCTGCAATACCGAAAGCTTTCTGTAACCCTTTACAGGCTTTGATTGATGGCAAAAAACCCTGAAGCTTCCTCTTGGCTTTCTTCAAGATTGTATTGGAAAGCTGCATCACCATTATCAGCCCGTGATTCGATGGCTAACGAAATGGTGCGTTTGGATGCTCCAGTTCCAAGCCTGAGACGCTGAAGGAGCCAAGTTTTCAGTCTCAACAGATGAAGCCCCTTGACAGGATCTCAGGCTTGGCCCCCACAAAACATCTGCCACTTCTGAGCACCCGGCCCACAGGCCGCCCTGCAATCGAGACCAGGCAGCAGCTACCCCCTGCACCAGGTGCCAGCATCGGTCTGCGCAGCCTCCTGCAGAGCAAGCTGCTCGTCAGCCCCTGCGGCTCCACCGCACTGACTCAGGAGATGGGTCTAGACCTGCTAACGCTCCTGACCACACAGCAGCATGCGCACTTCATCACGAGTGTCAGAAAATAATCCTGGAGCTGACGGGCTGTGAGCTTCCTCCCACCTGCCAAGGGACACTCTTGCCATCCCTGGGCTCGTGGTCCTCAGGTGAGTGGACAACCCCAGCTTACTCGTCTCCTGCTGTTCCAGCTACAGATGGCTGAAAAAGCAAGGCCGAGTGAGACTGCAATACTCCATTTTGTTCACCTGTGGAAAGAAAAGGCTCCCCTCCCCTCCAAGGTATTCAGGGGATGGACTGCATAGGTTAAGTGATGAGTTGAGGGCACAGGGATGGTAGATTTGGATGACCTGTGAACTGTTAGCAGGCTGCAGCTCAAAGACTGAACACCTCTAAACAGGACTTGGGGTCTTTCTACCTGCACTGGTGCAAGACCCACATCGTGGGGCCCAATCCTGCCTTGGTGAAAGGAAACAGGAGCCAATCTGCAGAGTCGCAGACACGGAGGTCTGAGCGGAGGGACCGGGACGGCAGGCAGCTCGGCCAAGGTGTGCTGCAAGCTGTGCTTGCTGCTAGAGCAGGTGCACAGCAGGTGAGCGAGGGGGGCACCAGCGCAGCCATTTGTGCTCCAGACATCTGGACCCTCATGAAAAGGTACCTGCCGCTGCCAAAATCACACAGAAAGGGGCTGAGAACACCAAACTCAACCCACCTTTTATCCCAGCAGAAAGCATTCGGATGGCTGTGGGTAGTGAGTCACCAAGAAGTGAAAGGCCACTGATTAATTTATAGTAACCAAACACCAAGAAGGGGGAACGAGGTGGGGAGCAGAAAGGACAGACAGAAAGAGGAGCTGTCCCTCTCGGTTTTATCAGCAGGGAAAGTGCTTTCCCAGATCTTTAGGAATTATGAAAAATAAATTATGAGAAATTAAACCCCCCCCGGAAGAGTAGAAAAAGAATAAAATTATCTAACACCTCAACTGCACATCATTATAGAAAACTGTGGGCTTTTTATACACATTACAGTAAGGCAGTCATCACTACTAACAGACTCAGTACGATGGATCAGTAATTGTTTTCATACACTTTAATTAGAAAAACTCAGATGGCTATGAATAATAATGGAAAAGAGAGACTTTTGCACTTGAAAGGTTGAAGTCAATCAAGTGTGAATGACGGCAAAAAAGAAAAAAAAAAAAAAAAACACCAATTCATCAGGCCTCTGTTGTCTCGACGCGTCTTTAATCATAATTCCTGATTGGGATTCAAGAAGGCAGTAAGCAGCGGTTCTTTGTCTGCCTTCACCTTCCGTCAATTAACTCTCCCCGAAATATAATCATCAACCCCACATGCTCCTCTGCATCTTAATCCAGGCCTCCAAACCCAGAAGTCCTGCCCTATCTGTGTTTAAGTAACTACCTCTGTCTACCTGTATCTCTGTAGCAGAGCTCAGCCCCTGCGTCTCCTCCCACCCTCCCTCCACCAAAAAACAAGTGGAGGTAAATGAAACTGGTACAGGCAGAAGATTCCCTAGAGGCAAATAGGCAAAAGCCTGGAAGAGCTCAAAGAAATTCCAGATGTGCACGTAAGGCGCCTACAGGTGTGCCAGAAAACCACGCATGGGGGTCAGTGGCCAGAGGTGCTGAAAGTGAGGGTCTCTGCATGGCTCCAGACCCAGTCGCCCCCCTTCAGTCACCGACAAAGTTAGCACACTTGAGCTCGCCCCCCCCGTGCTGCCCAGCCAGTCTCACTGGGCGAAGGAGCTGCCCGAGCAAGAACAGCGAGAGGGTCGCACGCTGCCCTGGTCACTTCTGTAAGGCTCCCTCTTCCACCGCTTTGTCTTTTTACACTGTCAACCTGAGGAGCAGGGACAGGCTCCCTCTGTGCATGTGCATGTGCACGTGTGCATGAGAAGTACCTAGGACACCGCAGCTGCTTCTGGAGCAGACATGAACAGGAGTACTGCACGGTGCCGCGTGCTGGCTGACAGCCTCACATGATCCCGTGATCATCCGGACCCCACATTATGTGATGTATGATACACTCATGACATATTTAAAGAGAGAGAGTTGCATTTACCCCCAGTGCAGGGTAAGCTCACTCAGGTGTAGGCCTCATGTAGCCACAGCTCATCACTTCCCTGGGCAAGCCAGAGGGAGACCGTGACTTGGGGATCGGCTCTCCCTGGTCCCCAGTGCTGCTCCATTTAAGACTAACTGCTTTCACACTTCCACAACATGCAAGCCCATATGAGCCATTAGTAACAGCAATACACAGGATATAAGCTGTGTAGCTGTGTCAGCCTGTTCGAGCCACAGACCTTACTGATATTATTATTTACGATACCAAGAGCCTCAGTCAGGGAGCTGTGCAAGGCGCTGTAAAGCAGAGCAAAAAGACAGTCCTTGTCCCAAAGCGCTTGCAGCTTCTCTCCACTCCCTTCACCACCTGCCTCAGTTCTTCCCCACGCTCCTTTTGCCACATCAGACACAGACTGTGGTGCCTTGGGCTGCGGCAAGTGGTGGTCTGTGCTGTCAGGCAGCAGGCACGAAACTTTAGGCTCTAGAAAACAACTCTCCAGTTCCTAACCTGACTGTAGCCTGCAGGAGCCACAGCACATGTCCCAGAGGAGCACATGCTAACATTTCCCAGGTCTCTCAGAGGTCATCCTTCCATACAATGCTATTGAGCAGGATATGAATGGTCCCCTTGAGCTGGGTCACTCTCTTGACCTCCCTGTCTGAAGCGAGGAATTTTTGTATAATAGAAATTAAAGATGGGGAAGAGCCGTCAGGTCACCCTCTCCGTTCTCTCCGCCAGCGCAGACTTGCTGAATGAATGGGAAGATCGGGCTAGTTCCGTTTCCTGGCAGGTTAAATCTGCACCTTGGCAGCTAGGATGCAGCACGTACAGAGCTCGGAGTTCGGAAAACCTCAACGTAACAACACACGCGCGCACGCGGCGCCCTTCCCCTGGAAGCGCTAAAGGCCCCTTTACCAGCCAGAGCAACAAAACCAACTCCTAGGTAAATTCACGGAGATGCAGCCACTCTTGGGGCGGCAGCAGCAAAGCTGCAGAAATCATGACATAACTGTGAGGAGAGGGAAACGTCAGTCAGAGGCTGGGGTCTGCCCCTGCCCATCTTAAATATTCCCCTGCAACCTGCGGGTGCGTTTGCTCCTCCGTGGGGAGACTCCGACATGGCTGCTGGAAGGGCGAGCCCCGCTGAAACGGGCAGGCAGGTGAGGGACCGTGCCGTGGGATCCAGACGCTGGCGCGTGGGGCTGGGTGCGTCCGGTGCCCTGCCAGCAGTGCCGGCCTCGCTAAATGGCAGTGAATCATTGCTCTCTCACGTTCCCCCACTGCCGAGCTCCCTAGGCCTCAGCAAAGCACCTCGCTTGGGTTTTTAGAGAGCCCCGATCCATCCGAGGCCTGAGCTGTCCTCTGCGGCCAGCTTCGGCAGGTCTGTCTTGTAAGGCAGCGTGTCTGTGCCAAAGGCACCCTCTCCATACTGACTCTGGCTGCACAACACGGGTCTGGGAGAGCCCACAGCCAACGGCCCACTGCTGAGCAGTGACAACAGCCTGGTCTTCAGTGCCTCACCTGTGCCTTCCCCGCACCTGCCTGGGGCATGGGACCAATCCCAGGGAGGCTCCAGGCTGCTCTTCATGGCTTCCCCAAAATGGCTGGACACATTTAGCTTTAAAAATAAAATCTCTTGAAAGGGTCTGAGGAAATACATTACTCCCCCTATGTCCATGCAACCAGGGGGAATGCACATGCAATGCAAGGTTCCCGGACCAGACAAAGGAGGTAATTTCCATTACAAAGAGAGAGAGAGAGGGTGCTGGAGTGAAAAGCTTCATTAGACTCAGAGAGGCAAAGCGATGGCAGTATACCAAGGTCACTTCTAATTTAGACCATCTAATTGGCAAACATGGCTCCAAATGGCTATCATCTCACAGGGCTCAGAATTAATGAAGCCCGATTATTTTCATTACCTTCATCCGAGATGGAGAATGAGACACAGAGTAAGAGGGAAAGGGGGGAGGAAGAGGGGGCGAGAGGGAGGGAGAGAGAAAATTGAATGACAGCAGAAGGGAGAGAGCAATAAGAAGAGACAATGGAAACGGAGAAAAGACTGTAAAGACAGCGAGAGAGAAGTGAGGATGGCAGAGATAGGAAAGAATTACTTGGGGAGCGGGAGAGGAGAGAGATGAAAAGACAGCTGGAAACAGGAAACACTGGAAAGACACCTTAAACACGGGAGAGGAAAACTGACACAGGATTAAATGGAGGGGGAGAGGAAAGCGCGGAGAGATGAAGGAAGCCGAGGGGGAGGGAAATTCCCCATCTCGGCAGGCTGCTGGGCGAGCAGGCCCTTCTTCTATCGGGAGCCCATCAGTCTTGTCAATCGGCGGCCGCCGCGAACTGCACTTCACCCTCATTAAGGAGCTCTCTGCCGAAGCGGCGCAGGCCCGCGAGCAGAGAAGTGGCCGTTATACAGGAAGACAACGATTAGGCGGGCTTGGAGCAGCCAAAACGCCACCGACGTAAACGTGCCACATGTACGCGACCGCTTCGTGACACGGGGCCGAGCCGGAGCAGCCCGGCCTCCCGCCCTCCTGGACTCGCAGGGCGCGCGGGAGAGATTCGGGGAGCTTTGCTGCCCACGTGACCCTGCCGTGGCGCTGTCTTCCCGGGCGGCCCAGTGGCAGGGCCGCCGCACGCTCCTCTGCTCGGGACGCCTCTCCGGCCAACAGGGCACGCGGGGAGCACGAGCTCGCAGGGGAGGGGACCGCTCTGGCCGCTCCCGTGGGACAGGCACCGGGCTGCCGCCGACGCGAGGCGCAGGGGCCCGAGAAGCGCAGATCGGAGATGCGGAGCGTAAGCAAGCAGCCGTTGCTATGGCAACAGACATATTAGACACCGCAGGTTCCTGCGAGGCGTCTGATAAGGTGTTATTAACTGGAGCCTCCTCCAAACGCGTCGGAAGGGACCGGGGCCGCGACTTCCTCGCAGCGGCACAGAGAGCCAGCCGCGTCAGGCCGAGACGGGAATCGTGCTGGGGACACTGCTGCACCGCCCTGCTCTCCCGGTGTGTCACGTGGAGCATCTGCCTGGCTCGATTCAAATAGCACAGCCCCCCCACCCCAAGGGCAATGCCCCCAGACCGCAGCCTCAGGGGAACGTCCACATGAGCCAAGACAAGCAACAGGGCCCAGCCTTTCCTTCCCGATCTTGGCAGAAGGCATGAACATGCCCCGGGACCGGCCCTTCCTATGCACGAGTCGCACGGACCTAACCAAATCACTTCTGAAATCGATACGGGTACATCAGGGCTTCTCCCTTGCACAGGCGCTCGAAAATAGTTGGGAGAAGGCTGTATCTCGGGGTGATAAGGCACTCTTATCCAGTTGCAGCCCGGCACGTGTCAATTTGAATACAGCATGCCCGACTGACTTCAGGGGTCCCTCCATTCTCCACAGCTAAGAAAAGCAGCAAGTGCACATGAGAAACGAGGAAAATCAGGGTGGGAACAGGATGACGGGGAATGGGAAGCAAAAAGCAACTTGTATCCTTTTTGTTTTAGGCAGACTGAGCCAAATGCTAGAGGTGGGAAACCTGGCTTCTAAAACTGCACCCACAAACAACACGATTTAGAAATCCAGTTATATCCTAATTGCACGCAGGATTTAGAGACTGTCTTCTAAAGTGTGCCTCTAATTGTGCCTGCATTTAAACCTGGCACTGGAGAGAGGAAAAGAGCATTAGCCCGAAACGTACAGTACACACTGCACGAAGAAAACATCTTGGGGGAAATCTGGGCATCTCCTGCTGGCCTCCACCACAGGTTGGGAAGCTGCAGAGATCTCTAGGCCCACAGATCTATAGCCCAACCACTGTGCAAGACCTGCACACCCACGTAGGGGAGAAGTCCCTTTTAGCCAGTCCACCACTAAGTGTCACTCAGAAAAAGAGGATCTGTTGAAGCTACAGACATTTCCCATCATGCGCTGTAATGACAACTTCCTTCTCAAGTTAGCTGGAGAAAAGCCTCCATCAGAGACCACATGAGAGCAGGACTCCCAGGTCTGACACCTACAGCAGCGATGCAGAAGAGAGAAAAGAAAAGAAGTCTGACATGGACATCTTGGTACCGAACCATACTCAGCTGACCTCAGGCTTTCGCTATGGGCGTGGAGACAGGGCACTGGCGCAGACAGACAGCCACGTGACGGTACAGCCACCCTGGGGAGAGCATCACAAAAATGGCTCCATTCTGAACTACAGGTTTTGATGCAAATTTAAACACTGGCATTTTAACCAGCAACTTTAAGGGCCTCTATAGCCATGCAGTAATTCCACCTCACCTGTGCCAGCTGCAGGCTGTCTCCACCGTTGTTAAAACAACCCATAAAAAAGTAACCTGCTACACAGGACAAGTACTGCCACTTTGGACTGACTGCTGATTTCTCACAGAAGCAACAGAGCAGATGTACCATTTACTCCCCTGATAATGATCTTGGATAAATGACTGGAGCACAGAGTGTGACATTCGCCACAGCACCGAGTCCCACAACAGTCCCAGCCTGTGCTCAGCACAAGCCTGAGAAGGGAAGCAATCATACCACTTCCCAAAATTGCATTTTAAACAGAAACCTGATCCCTGATTTCCTGCAATCTGTTACTCTAATGACCCTGGCTACCCTGTTTGGTGAGCGTGTGTGGACACAGCAGCACTTGGGAACAACTCACTCACAGATCAACGGGTGCCTCTCCCAGAAGTTGATCCTCTTCAGTGGTTGTTAAGGGGGTGTTTTTATTGAATAATTGCCCTGCGGTCTCCGAGGAAGAGATTTCTCCTTTAATCCAGCTCCCTGACGGTGCAGAACCCCGCAGTGCCCAAGCGCAGAGCGCTGGTCTCCACAGCCAGCACAGCACAGGGTGGGAAAATGCAAGCAGCCACAGCTCTGGCTGGAGCAGGAAGCTGCCTGCTCCCACGCATTACAGCACTGGTCTGTGGCATCTGGCAATGCTGAAACCGCCTTGCTTCCCAGGGGAGACAGCAGCTGCCCTCAGATGCCCAGACACTTACCGTCATGATGAGTTTCTCCACGCAGTCGGGTGACACGCTGTGCAGGTGTGTGAGGTGCAGCTGCAGATGGATCTTGTTGTTGAGCATGTCCTGGCAGAGTGGGCAGCGGAGCATGGGCTGCACCGAGTGCTGGGTCATGGCATGGACCCGCAGCCGGTTCACATCTGTGTTACTGTACTTGCAGTACGGACACTGGTACATCTGCAGGGTGAGACGATACACACTGCACTGACTAAAGCACGCGACTGCCATAGTCACCACTCACACTTTCTCCTTCCTTATCGCTCGACTCCAGTAATAACCTGTGCCTTTCTCCCACCATCCAATCATCACCTTTTCATCATCACCTAATTTTATTTTCCTTTTTTGCTCCTGACACCTACAAAGCAAATCAACTGCCTCTAGGTGTTTACAGCTTTCCAGCAAGTACTGCTTCCCTCCTGTGCCTCACCTGCTCCGGTTTGGTCTCCTCTGAAGTTTTTGACCATTTAGAGGACAGAGGTGACTCAGAGCTGCTGGGAAATGACATGCGTTTGGAGGATGCTGGGGACTCTGTCAGCTCCTTTTCTGCTTGGCTGGCTGCTGGTGCTGCAACACAAAAAAAAAAAAAGAAAGAAAGATTTGCATTATGACATCCCCAAAGAGGTTTACACTGGATGCAAACATCAGTAATTCCATTTGTACTCTTCCATTTTCTCACAATGCATGCGCAGGATTTGAGAGAGGATGAACTTCTGGGCTAACCTGCATCTTACCACACATGCTGAGAGAACCTGAGCATTTCCTTCTTGCTATCTCCCATTACTGGCACTAAGAAATAAGGGCACCGTGACGGATTCTTTGCTATAAACAGAAAAAAAATCACACTCGCCCACTTGGGCGTGCTCAAACCAGATTACAAGCCAGTAGATGGAGAGGCATCTTCCCTGGCGTTTGCACCTGAGAACACTTGGCTGGGGTTTCTAACCCCTTCCACAGGCAGGTGGATGCACATGGGTCAAAAGCAGGATTCACGCTGCTGCCCTGAGCGTGCAGAGGGTCCCAGACAGTGCAGCAAGCACTGTGCAAGTCGATCAAGGACCACAACAGCATGACACAAGGATTCACGCCTGGGTCGTGGGATCGATCCCACTTTCTTCGACCGGCGGCAGCTGGAGGTCAGCGTGGAAGGAGGCCCTGATCCTGGAGAGGGCGGCGGGGCCCGGTGGGACACCACAGCAGGCAGTCCCACTGAAATCCCCATGCAGCCGGGCAGCACAATGTGGGCTGCTGCTCACGTAGAGACTGTTTGGACACAGACGCCAAGTTGTGCTGGATGCAAACCAGAACCCATTAATGAAAAACCAGTTTTTATTCCTTGAAGTCAAAAACAGCGAACAAAACCAGAACCTGCTCAGAAATTATTCCAGGAAGTTGGTACGCTTCCCAGAATGCCCAGTGGGTGACCTTTAACCCCGTGGCTTGGTAGCCTGGACTACGCTAGTTTGTAGGACATCTATTATTTAAAAACTATAAGGACAAGTATATTACACCGCCCCCCCAAACACACATTCATAACAGTACTTTAATCTGTCTTGAATCGACTTCAAACCCATTTCGTTCTTAATGGGAGTTATTCATTTTCACTTGAAATGTAATACATGACAGCTGGATATTTAACATGATGGATTGGCTGCCGATTAACTAGGTGCTGCACCGTTCTCAGGCTGGCTCCCCCACGCCCTGCGCCCGAGCTTTGTTGTGGGACTGTCTACGGCCACGCTCAGAAGATGCAACCGGAGCACAGCTCAGGTATGCTATTCCCATGTCCAGGACCCTTTCACAGCGACCAGGGTGGGATTTATTGAAAAATGTGCCTCATGCAAGCCAGAAATACAATCCACGCATCTAGCCTCCATCCTCTCCTCCTCCAAACCCCAGCTCTAAGCAGTATTTACAACAGAGAGAGCATGAAACCACGTCCAGGAAATGGAAGTCAGATACTACAAATGGAGAAAAAAAATTAAGAGACTCCATGCTGCTCTCGTGGGACCTGATGAACAGGGGGGCTCCTGACCCGGTCCAAGTGGACAGTGTCACAGCTCAGGGTTTCATCCGGTGGCTGTCGACGCACACCACTCCTGTCCTGCTGCACCCCAGACATGTCTCCCCAACGCCCCGTCTCTAATGCACCCGGGTCCAACTGAAGTCCACACCTGGAAAGGCACAGCGTGCTTAGTCCTAGCCCCAGGGCTGGGACTGAGACCTTTGTGCTGCTTGTCCTGCCAAGAGGAGGCCAACCCTGCAGTTTATTAGCACAGAATACGTCAATGCTATCGTGGTAAATCTACAGACGTCAAAACACAGCACCATTCTGCTCCCTGCGAGAGAGATGGACTCCAGGTCTACGCTTGCTGCCCGAATCTAAAATCTCCCTTGTGGGTTACAGCTGGAAATTCATTAAAAAGGTTTCTACACAACTGAAATTTACTTCTTTTCCTCCCCAATAACAGTATCACTGCACGGTACAAAATGGGGTATCAAGCCTGCAGGTGAAAGCTGCCTATATTTCCCACCCCCCGACAGAAGAAAACAGCAATCCACATCTGACTGAAAGCACTGGAGGCAAACAGCACCGAGGGGCAGGCCGTGTTTGATGAGCCCCCGCTGCAGGAAGACGGACACGGAGAATCCCTAGCAAGAGCCCATTTGCCGCAGCAGGTAGAGGATGATCCAGTGCTAAATTACCTTGGTTGATCTTTGTGCAATGTGAGCAGAGCAGACCCAATAAGGAGGTTAACTACCGCTGACATGGTCCACTCCTCCATTTGACCTCAGACTTTAAAATGTCAACCACAATCAGGAAGTCGGGCATCAGTATGGAGTCAGGCTGACGATCCCCAAGCCGTGTCTGCGTGTGACTAGGGACCAGCACGAGCTACGCTCCCTTCCCTGCTGCTGCGAGCTCGAACAACCGGCTCCTCCAAGATTTAGGATCCCTTCACATTGCTCAGCTTGGGCTGGGAATTTGGTCTGCCGCGTGGTTTTGGGAGGAACTCTCTGGGCTCTGTATCCATCAACTCGTGTGCCAAGGCTCTGAATCTTGGTTATTCTACGAAACTACTGATTAGTGCTACTGAGAGTTACAGGTGCAAATCGCCAACACGGCACACGACAGGGGAACAAGGACCATGCTGGGGTGAAAGAATGATTAATGCAGCTATGGGGAAGTTGCTATCGACACTTTTCCAAGTCTAAGAACCCAACTGCTTTATAAACAAAGCAAGGGCCAAATACTGGCACAACTGGATGGGTCAGAAATACAAATCACCGTTTCAGATCCAATGCATGGTAAAAACAAGCTTTTAGAAACTTCCAAAATGCGACCTCCTCTCCTTCAACAGCAAGACTTGGGGTAGTGCCTCCCAGACAAGAGGAGGCCCCGGGCTCTCGTCTAGGTGGTGCCTCTAACTCCGTGCATTTGCAACCCTGGACATGTTGCTAACAACTGCATTTTCAGAAGTAGTCGGTCATTTCTGGGAGCCTTGATGGGACTTTGTTCGCGGAGATGATGAACAAAAGCAATTCTTTCTGATGTCAGTCTGGTGTCGCGAACCCTCAGCAACTCTGAACATCAAGCTGCAGCTGTCTGAAGCGTGCATCCTACGTTGGCCGGACTGGATCAAGAATCACAGACAACGAGGGCTGGAAAGGAGCTCAGGAGGTCACTTCTAGTCCAACCCCCTGCTCCAAGCAGGACCAGCCCCAGCTACATCATCCCAGCCAAGGCTTTATCTACCTGGGTCTTCAAAACCTCCAGGGATGGATCTAGACTCCTGGGCTGAGCTGGCAGCTCTGCATTGCCTATGGGCACGGGGCTTCCCTACAGATGATGCAACCTGCTTTTGGAGTCTCCTGTTGAACAGGGTGGCCCTCAGTGGCCTCTCCTTTGCAGGCAGTGCAGGGTATCTGGCTGGACGTGGGTCTGGGGCCTCCAGGTGACCCCTCCCCATCACTCTGACTTGTGCAGCACACCAGGCTGGCGCTAATCCCGGAATCAGGGAAAGTGAAGGGCAATTCAAACATGTCTGTTCACTTGCCCCAGCTGCGACATGCAGCTGATCTGGCCCGTAAACCTTGATCTCTCTAAAACAGCAATATGAATGCTTGCCTACTCCAGAGGAGTGGGGAGAGGCGTAAGTGGCTACGCTTTCAGCACCGTCTGAAAAACATGCTGGAACGCTAGTGCTAAGGGTCCTTTTAAAGGTAAAAACACCCACTGGGCTACCAACAGTGGGACCATGGCTTCCTGCTGGCCAACAACCAAACAGGTCTACTCTGTCGCAGCTGAGTACACAGATGATCTCAGGGTCTGCTACCGTGGAGTCGATGGAAGTGTCCGCAACGGAGGAGTGAAGGACTCTCCAAAGAGACAGGCGGCATTACTTGCCAGCACACCCGGCAGACTGCATGGCCCACAGATCTGTGTGTGGGCCGGACTCTGTGGCCCAGAACAAGCCGAAAAACTTAGTTCTCACTTTCCTCCAAGTCCCTGCTCCAGAGGGGATCCAGCACAGACCCGAGCCACCGCTGGCATTTGGGAAGAGACCAGGACTCCTGGAAGAAATGAACCAAGAAGGTGACAGGTGCCCCGAGTCCAGGGGAATGTGTATGGAGACGGACCCCTTTAAAGAGTTAAAGGACCAGAAGCATTTGAAGAATCAGCGTCAGGCCTGTTAACTAAAGACTGAAAATAAACATTTCACCACCACGCAGGAAAGGACCGGCGTGGCTGCAAGACAGGCTGCCGAGGGCCACTCCTGTTGCTGGCTCCTGCCGTGACTTGCTTTTCAGCGGCGTGGAGGATTTTCTTCTTCCTCCGTCTTACAGGGTAAAGCGTCCCTGAGAAGTGTCTCTTTCAGTGAGCCCGGAGGGTCCCAAAGAGCCAGCTACACTTGATCCTTGTGGGAGGCCAAAGGCAGTCGCCACCCCCCACCTTTCAACCATCAGACTCTCTCAGCTAAAGTACCACTGACAGCCCCTTCATCTAAACTTCCATCTCCCAACCCAGCAACATAATGGAGGAGCCAATTAAATGATTATTAATTCATGCTGCTTTCCGTAAGCCCGAGGTTCTCATCTCCCTGCATTCCGTAAACCAGCTCGCCACCTGCCTTAGAAATTTACAGCAGGGTTTTTGCCATCTCCATTGATTAGGAAAAAAAAATCCCTTCCTCCTAGCTCAGCAGCCAGCCTTGGCGAACTTTTCAGCCGCGCTACAACACCACGCTCCCCTGGTCTGCTGGCAGCTGAGATCCCATGGCAATAGAGGGGGCTTCCTCTCCAGTGACAAGGTCCTTCAGACCTCCTCCAAAAATATTCTAGGAATGACCTGCGCAGGATCACAAAACTTTGCGCCGAACATTAGCCCACAGAGCGAAGTCTGGCCGCCTTCTCTGTGGCTACAGCTGCTTATGACGGAGCTGGGCAGGACGCTGCAATCCTTCAGGGGCTCCTTGAAGGAACTGCCGGCTTACTGGAGATCCCATGCTCGGAGAGGCCACGGGGCTACCTCATCCCTTCTTATTCCCACGTGTTTTGGAGCCTTC